AATACAGATACATATTTTCCTGCTTCTGTCACCGCCCAGCAGAGGGCGGCGGGCAGGGATCGCTCGCTGGCGTTGGAAAGGCACTAGCCGCAGTGGCCCTCCCGCCTCTTCTTCGCCCCTTTCCCCATCTCACCTGCCTGCCAGGGGGCACGGCGATCTGGGGCTTCTCTACCCCGAAGGCGTAATGCCCGGGCGCCCCCGGCCGCGGGGTGGCGGCTCCTCCCAGCGGGTTCCAGTCCCAGGCGCCGCGCTCCAGCCTGCAAACGTCGGGGAGCGCCATCGCCGCTTCGCCTCTTTTCTTCTCGGTGAAAGCGAAAGCGGCAGCGCCCGACCCCGTGTTTCCTCTCCGTGTCTCCCCCCGCCACCGCTCTGCTCCTCCCTCCCCGCCTCCCTCCGTGCGCCACGTCGGGGATGGGCAAGGACCTTGGAGAGGCCGGCGAAGGAGCAGGGCGCACGGTTGGGGAGAGGCGCGCACCGAGGGTGCCCTATCCAAACGGACCCCACTCCACCCTCTTTGTTGGAGGGGGCGGGAGAATCTGGGGAACGAAGTGGGGGGAGCTGTGGGGGGGGAGAGAATCCAAAGGGAAGAACCCCCCCCCCAGGTTCCCTGCAGGGTTCGGTAAATTTTTGCCATGACCCTTTGGATATCTCCAGGCTCATTGCGCCCCAGCTCTGGTTTCAATTGCTTGCTTTTCTCTGTCTTACGTTATTTCACAGTGGTACCTCGGGTTATAGATGCTTCAGGTTACATACGCTTCAGGTTACAGACTACGCTAACCCAGAAATATTACCTCGGGTTAAGAACATTGCTTCAGGATGAGAACAGAAATCGTGTTCCGGCGGCGCAGCGGCAGCGGGAGGCCCCATTAGCTAAAGTGGTATCTCAGGTTAAGAACAGTTTCAGGTTAAGAACGGACCTCCAGAATGAATTAAGTTCTTAACCCAAGGTACCACTGTAGTTGCTTTGGAAGACGATCACCAGGCATCCACACAACATGACCAGTCCAACGAAATTGATGTTGAAGAATCATTGCTTCAACACTGGGGATCTTTGCTTCTTCCAGTATACTGATATTAGTTCACCTGTCTTCCCAAGTGATGTGTAAAATTTTTCGGAGACACCATTGATGGAATATTTTGAGGAGTTGGAGATGGTGTTTGTAAGTGGTCCATGTTTCACAAGCATACAGTAAGGTTGGTAGTACAATAGCTTTGTAAACAAGCATTTTGGTTTCCCTGTGAATGTCCCGGTCCTCAAACACACCGCACTTCAGTCTTGGAGAAAGCCGCACTTGCAGAGCTCATGGCTATGTCCCCCCACCATGTGAAGCAGTAAATGCCTCTGCCAGTTGCTGGAGAGCTCGCAACTGGGGAGAGTGCTCTTCTTGCTTTCAGCCTTCCCACTGGTGTTAGAACTTGCAAGGGACTCCGAGGGTCATCTAGCCCAACCCCCTTGCAAGGCAGGAACCTCAGCTGAAGCATCCATGACAGACAGACCCATTCGAACATCTGCTTTAAAACCTTTAAAAGGAAGGAGAACGTAAGAAGAGACTGCAAAAAAGCTGCAACTAAACAAATAATTATGGTGCTGGAGGAGACTCTTGAGAGTCCCAGGGACTGCAAGAAGATCAAACGTATCCATTCTTAAGGAAATCAGCCCTGAGTGCTCACTGGAAGGACAGATCCTGAAGCTGAGGCTCCAATACTTTGGCCACCTCATGAGAAGAGAAGACTCCCTGGAAAAGACCCTGATGTTGGGAAAGATGGAGGGCGCAAGGAGAAGGGGATGACAGAGGACGAGATGGTTGGACGGTGTTCTTGAAGCTACCAGCATGAGTCTGACCAAACTGTGGGAGGCAGTGGAAGACAGGAGTGCCTGGCGTGCTCTGGTCCAGGGGGCCACAAAGAGTCGGACACAACTAAACAACAACAACAAACGAATAATTGTGGCAACCTGAGCTGGGTGCTACCTTTGTTCCCAACACACTCCCGCAAGACTTGCAGTGCCAGATTTATGTATAAGCTAAACAAGCTATAGCTTAGGGCCCCACTCTCTTTGGGAGACCCCAAAAAATTTAAAGAAAAAAACCTGGATGTACATTTCCAAAATATAAGATAAAAAACAAATAAAATAAAACCTACATACAGCAACAGTGTTTTGTGTTGTGCAGGCTCCTATTTGTTATGTGCAAATGGCTTTAGATACCTATTAGGTCCATAAATTACCATATAGCATATATTCAACACAAAAAACAGCGGCAATTTGTTGATGACAAAGGACAGCTGGACATATAAAGGGCCCATTGCCTTCAGTCGTTTAGGGCCTCATCAAAACGAAATCCAGCCCTGCGCAGGAGTGTGCATTTGCTGAATCGGGGTCTCGCTGGCCCTGCAAGAGGGTGCGCTCTGGAATAGGGCACGGTACCCATCGCTGGGTTGGGAACAGACTTGACTTCAACAGCCGCAACTCCATTCTGATTTATTTATTTTTTAAATCTCCAGCATGCAGTTTCAATCACAGTACTGTAAAATGAAGAGCGGCTTCTTTTCATTCTGATCCTAATAAAAACTCCCTAGGCTTTATTATGCTCAGGGTTGCAGCCTGCAAAGATGGGAGCTCTCTCTTGCCGGCAAACAAAAGAAAAGCGAGCACAGAATTCGTGAAACATTGTCAATAGCAGCTACAAATTGGTTGAAAAGCGAGCCACCGGTGCGCTGAGCTGCTCCTTTCAACCGCTAGGCGGCGCTGGCTACACGCGCCGCGGCAGCCAGCGGGGGGAAATCTCCGACGGTTCCAACCTTGCGTCACCGAATCTACCCAGCAACTGATGACCCATCCCATGCCTTCTTTAGCCATTGGTTCGGCGGGACACGGCCAAGTTTATCAGCTGGGCGGAGTGCCAGGCGCTGTACTAGGAGGGGCGGGAGGAGAGGAAACCACACGGGCCGCTTCCTGCCTGTTAGATCGACGCGATAGAGGAAAAAGAGAAGCAGCAGATGGCCAGTGTTCTTGCCCTTCCCCCTTGCCTTCCTGATCAACCCACAAAGTCCACCTTCCAGGCCCCATGAAATCGCAGCTCTGCTGCAATTGCAATTATGTTAGATTCTGGACTTTTGCATTATGTCCCTGATTTCAAAAGCGGCCCCTCCTGCTGTTTCTGCAGAATGAGGCCCTGGCTAGCTGGCCTCCCCTGTCCTGCCCTGAAAGCACCCGCTGTTTGCAAAGATCCTCTTTCCTAGGAAAGGGTTGCCAACTTGCTTCTTCAAGCGGGGCTCCTGTGCCTTTGACTGCAGTGCAAAAACAAACAAAAAACCTCCTGCCAACTCTCCAGTCCTGGGAACAGCTGCACCAGGTGGATTCCTGCCCGTTGTGTAGCCCTTCAGGCAGGACAGGAAATTCTCAGTCCCTAGAGAGGAGGACAAGCCAAACACTCGCTGAGCTGGAAGTTAATTATAGCCTTGGGGTTTTCCCTTGATGTCATGCTGCAAGTCTGAAGCCTGGTAATGAACTGGCAGGAAACATTTATGCACAGACACCACATCACACGGTGACCCTTCTAGACGCTGCTGGACTCCAGCTCTGACCACTGGCCCTGCTGGGGGTTAGGAGTTCAGCATCATCTGGAGGGCCACAGCTGCCCTAACCCGGCTCTAATGATTTTTCCATGTTCTGTAGTCTTCTTGCTGATGTTCATCTTCCTGAACTCCGTCCTGGAAGTAAACTGGCTCTTTCCACTGGAAAAGAGGCAACCACGAGGAGATAGCCATCTTCAAATAACTGAAGGCTGTCACATGGAAGAGGGAGCAAGCTTGTTTTCTCCTGCTCTGGAGGTAGGATTCGAACCAAGGGCTTCACGTTACCAGAATGGAGATTGCGACTCAACATGAGGAAGGGCTTTCTGACAGGAAGAGCTGTCTGACAGTGGAACGGGCTCTCTTGGGAGGTTGTGGACTCTGCTTTCCTGGAGGTTTTAAAGCAGAGGTTGGCTGGCCATCTGTCCTGGATGCTGTAGCTGAGATTTCTGCATTGCAGGGGGCTGGACTAGATGACCCCAGGGCTTACATGTGCACAAATTCTTGCCTTTCAGTAGTAACAGGTGATGCTTAACCCCACTGTCCTCTGAGGTAGGTTAGGCAGAGAGGCAGCAACTGCCCTGAGGGTCACTCAGTGAGGGGATTCAAAATATGTTGATAACCTTTCCATTACAGTGGTACCTCGGGTTAAGAACTTAATTCATTCTGGAGGTCCGTTCTTAACCTGAAACTGTTCTTAACCTGAGGTACCACTTTAGCTAATGGGGCCTCCCGCTGCCGCCACACGATTTCTGTTCTCATCCTGAAGCAAAGTTCTTAACCCGAGGTACTATTTCTGAGTCAGCGGAGTCTGTAACCTGAAGCGCCTGTAACCTGAAGCATCTGTATCCCAAGGTACCACTGTACCACTTGTGGTGGAACAACCTTCAATCACTTGGTGCATGGGTAGACAAACTAAGGCCCAGGGGCTGGATCCGGCCCAATCCCCTTCTAAATCTGGCCTGCAGACAGTCCCAGAATCAGTGTATTTTTACATGAGTAGAATGTGTCCTTTATTTAAAATGCCTCTCTGGGTTATTTGTGGCGCCTGCCAGGGTTTTTATGTGAGTAGAATGTGTCCTTTTGTTTAAAATGCATCATTGGGTTATTTGTGGGGCACAGGAATTCGTTCATTCCCCCCCCCCCAATATAGTCCAGCCCTCCACCAGGTCTGAGGGGCAGTGGACCGGCCCCTGCTGAAAAAGTTTGCTGACCCCTGAAGTGCCCTGAACATGCTGGACTGCAACTGAAGGCCTTGATAGTTGTTGCAACCCAACAACTTCTGGAGGGCACCAAGGGGTGGGAGGGAAGAGAAAAACAGGATGACCATAGTCCAAGGATATACAGCGGCCATATAGAAAGGTGTCTTTATTGTCCTGGGGGAATGAGATCCATGCTTTATAGTGAAAAACAGTGAAAGAGAAAAACCCACATAAAAAGTGTGTTTTAATTTATACACATCTACAACAAAGCACATTTCTCTGTTCGCACACGTAAGAAACACACAAAAGCAAAAAAATATATAAAAAATTATGGAAAATGAAACAAAAACCTCAACATTTTAAGCGGCTGCCTAGACCTGTTTGAGGAAAAAGATACCATCTCAGAGCACAGCCCCCAGAGAGCTCCCCATCTCCATGTTATTGCGCAATACAGAACAGAAATTGTCCACTCTAGACCTGTGGCCGGTTCTGCCGTTAAGCAGGGTGAGGCAGCTGCCTCGGGCTGGTGGGCCAGGCAGCGGGTGCCCAAGGCACCCCCCAAAAAAGCTGATCTCTTGTCCCTCTATGAGGAGTCTCCTCGCTCTCTTAACTACAGTACCTACTTCCTACCAATTTAATTTATCACGTTTACATTCCACCTTTTGCTCCAATGAGCTGAGAGCGGCATTCATGGTTCTCCCCCTCCACATTTTATCCCCAAAACCCTGAGAGGTAGGCTAGGCTGAGAGCCAGGGTCAGGCCCAAGTTCAGCCGCTGAGCTTCAGGGCCAAACGGGGATTTGAACCCAGGTCTCCCAGGTCTTCTCCGACACTCTTAACCCTGACACCCTGAGAGAAGCGGGGCCTGTTTATGCGGCACATGAGTGTTTTGAAAGTACGGCATGGATGTGACCAACCCCTGAACAGAGGGGAAGTGTGCGCATTTTGCAGAAAACCTTTGTACTGTATGACCAAAATGTAACCATACACAGGAAAGCGCCGCTTCCGTTGCTACACCCAGTCTATCAGGTGGCCCCTGGAAGGCTCCCCATGAGGGACTGTGGCCCTCAGGCCTGAAAAGGGGTCCTTCACACTCCTGGCCCACTGCTTTTTTCAGATTCACAACCTCCCAAAGCGACTCACAAGAACTGAAGCCATTAACCGGGTTTTTACAGTATGGCGTACAAAACAAAATGGAGGACGCTGCCCAGTTGCCAGGGCTACAGTTAGGCCTCGACTGCCCACCCAAGTGACATTTGTGCATGGAGTGGGCGAGGGACGACCTGCCTTTTACCTCAGGCAGCAAAATCTGTTGGGACGGCCCCAATAGTGAGGGAAAGTGTGGGGTGAGAGGACGGTCAAGCAGACAACAGAGGTGGGCCACCTCTGGGTTGATGTAAGGGAGGCAGAGAGGATCATGGGATCGAGGCCTCTGCCCTTTGGCATGTCCTTCGTATAAACAGTGATTCCCGCGCACGGGTTTCGAAATCTCAGTTGTGCCGATCTTATACGACAAGATAGGGATTGACAAATGAGTAACGGCCTCCGCTAGGGGTGCCAACAAGAATAAAATATTTTGGTGGGGGGAGCCAGGCAAGGCTTGCCCCCACATAATCGATCACAAGATGTGGCCCAAAACACACGGACAACTCCAGATGTAAAGATATGCGTTTCGAAGAGCTGGAATTTTGTGGGGCTGCCCCTCTCAGATTTAGGAGATGCCTTGAAATAAAGATTACTATTTTCACGGAGAGATTAGGAAGAGAGGAAGCTGCCTCGTAGCATTGGGCCCATCAATCTCAGTACTGTCTACACTGGCTGGCAGCAGCTGGTCTCCATGGTTTCAGACAAGGGAGTGTTTCTACCTATTCACAGAGGACTTGAACTTGGGACCTTCTGCAGGCAAGGTTATGTCTCCTCAGATCTTTTGCCTTAACTGAGGTGACAAGCTGCAGGCTGGTGGATTGGGCGCATGCCAGGCATTTTCCCACCCCTCCTGCCAAAAGAGGAGGCAGGGATGATGGGCAACGACCGCATAGGTCTAGGCCAGGAATCCTCCATCAGTTCTGAACCCACTATAGATGCTCGTGGTCCATGTCCACAAAGCCATTGTTGCTGCCCTCAGCTCCATTCTGCTGCCTCTGCACCAGCTGCCAGTAGACGCCCTTCTTCTCCATCAGTTCCTGGTGGGTCCCTTCTTCCTGGATCTCCCCATCTTCCATGACCAGGATGCGGTCGGCACACTCCACGCTGCGCAGGCGGTGGGAGATGAGCAAGACAGAGCGCCTGTGGCGAGCCTCCCCTTCGTAGATCTCCTTCTCCACCTGAGGAGTAAAGAAAAAAGGAGTTTGCTGGCAGAAGTTGGTAGCCAACTTCTTCCCCTTACCCCAGTTGCTTTTGCAGGCTCCTGTGCCTTAAATGAATCATACATCATATTGATCACTGTTCTTATATTATCGCTCATTTTCCTGCATTCCTTTTAGGTATAATTACAAATGATATACCTGACAATCAAATGAAAGTATTCCTTTATGCAACGACAGCTGCCAGGATGCTTATAGCAAAAAATTGGAAAGGGGAAAAAATTCCATCAATAAAAGAATGGCAAATTAAATTTTGTGAATATATAAATCTGGCAAGACTCACAGAATTCATAAGAGGACAATTGGACCAGAAATTATTAAAAGAATGGGAATAGAGTATATGAAAAAACATTGTTCTGGAGTAAGCATATCGGTATGTAATGAATGATGTTTTGCAGGGTTAAAGAAAAAGAAAAATGATGTAAAAAGTATAAAGATAGAGGTAATCTACATTAGACACAACAATTTAGAAAGAGTAAAATTTTTGAGGTCTTAGAACAAAGGAAGGAAGTCTATATGTGTATATGTATGTAATGACTAGACTAGAATGAAGATATGGTTTTATTTGTAGATGTGTGCTTTTTTCTTTTTTTCTTTTTTTGTGTTTTGTTTTTCTTTCTTGTTTGTATAGTTTTATTTTGGATTCAATGTTTGCAATTTTTGTTGTAATTTTGCATTGAAAATAAAATTTATATTTAAAAAAATGAATCATACATCAGGAAGGGCAGCATTTTCTTTTCTTTCTTTTTATAAGATTTGTTTGGTTTTCAAATTATAATTTTACAGTCACAACTCACAACATAAAAACAAGACTCCTGGACTCCCCTCCCCTCCTTTGTGGGTCTTATTGTTAATCATTTCCTCCTGGCATGAGAATCCAAATCTTTTACCTCTCCACTGTGTCCAAAATTCACCATTAAACTACAAGTGCCATTCTCAAGCTGGTCTTTGACCGTAATAAATTTCATGTTCATGTACAAGTGCTATTCCAACCCTACTAACAACTTAAACTGTTTACAATGGCTTTTAAGATAGGTTATAAATTTTCCCCATTCCTTATTAAAAATTTGGTCTTCCTGATCATCATCATCCCAACGTGAAAGAGGCTGTGGGAAAGACTTTTTATTCCTCCCCTGCAAACATGGTGTTAAGCGTATAGGCACCCCACCTTGCAAAATCTTCCCACAAAAGGGGTGGAGAGGGAACATCCATCTATCCTCCTGACCCCCTGGCATGAAAGCCCCAGGGGGAGTTGTTGCAGTGACCATCTATTTCTGCGGGTATCGGACCCTTTTTCTAGAATATCACAGTAGAAGCATCCAACACCTCTGGGCTTCTACCCCTCCACGGGCCCATCTTACCTTCTGCTGGCTCTCCATGTCGAGGGCGCTCGTGGCATCGTCCAAGATCAGCACTCGGGGGTCTCGGATCAGGGCCCGGGCAATGGCAACCCCCTGTCTTTGGCCACCGGAGATCTGGCCCCCTGTTTCTCCAGCATCTACAGGGAGGAACAGGAAATGGCAGCAGTGGGGAGACACTTCAGGAATTCCTTTACTTCCATCAGAACTAGGACAGTCTCCTGCCTGAAACCCCGGAGAGCTGCTGCCAGCCTGTGTATACATTATTAAGCTAGATAGACTTAGTCTGATTCACTATCAGACAGCTTCCCTTGTTCTCTGAGACTTTCTAGGTCCAACTTAAAAGTGGCCAAGAAATCAGACCCCCAAGACCTTCCCTTCCCTTTTGGCAAGCAATGTCCAATGCAGGGCCGGCCTACCCATGAGGCGAAGTGAGGCAACTGCCTCAGGCGGCAGGATTCACTGGGGCAGTGGATCCTGATGTTGATCTTTCTCCTTGCCTTGTTCCTGATGTAGATCGTCCCTTGCCCCTTCTTCCCTGCCAGGGAGGGGGAATCCTTTAGGGGTCTGTCTCTGGTGCCAAAATGTTTTGGGCCAGCCCAGATCCACTGCTACCCCATCCCATGGCTGGCAGGGCTGTGGGGCAGATGGTTCAACTTTCTGGGGGCCACATGCTGGTGACAGGCAGGGCCAGAGGCAAAAAGTGGGCAGAACAATGAATGTGCGGTTGACTGGACTGAAATGTTTGCATCTGCTGGCAGAAGCTGAACTGAAACAGAATCCCTGACAAAGGAGCCTGCATTTCATGGTATCATCACACTGAGATTCCAGGGCAGGGGCGAAACCAGACTTTATTTCACCCGGGTCAAAGTCCCAGTTCGGCACCCCCTGATGCACAGTTGTGCGCGCGCGCGCGCACACACACACACACACACACACACACAAGCTGGGAGTCTCAATGACACCCCTCTGGAGGCTTCACCCAGGGCAAAAAAAAAAAAAAAAGGCTAGTCCTCCCATAGCTACAGCTCAGCTCCAGGGTTTTGCTTTTGTGGTTTTTTATGAAACAAGAAAGCTAATATTTATTAAAGGAAATCTATATTTGCCAAACAAAAAGAACTAGGGGGGTCTTTCCTAGCAGGGTTGCCATATTTTGAAGAGCAAAAAAAGAGGACACATTTGCCAAATTCTGCTTTTAACTATGGATCACACTCATTTTTTAAAAAAGAGGACACGTCCTGGAAAATAGGGCATATGGCAACCCTAGGTGGAGATGCAACATGCCATCCTTGATCTAGCATCTCAGGAGGAGAGAGAGAGCCAAAGCATGCCTGCTCTCAAGAGGGAAGCAGGAAGCGAGGTCAGCAACCCTAAGAATATCAGTCGATAATGCTGAAAGACACTGACACAGGTCAGTGGAAGGAGAACGGTCCAGGGCGTTTGGAGGTTCCTCTATCTACCTTGTTCTCATGCAGATGTATCAGCCTACGGTGGAAGCCAAGTTAAACCCCCACACTTGCAACACCTGCTCAGACAGGGAGAGGTCTTTTCCAGAACTGGTTACTAGTACTGAATCCTTTTGGTTAAGGTGGAGATGCCACAGATTGAACCCAGAACCCTTCTGCATGCAGAGAATCTGCTCTGCCCCTGAGCCACAATCCCCTCCCATGGATTCCTTACCAGGGTTAGAGGGGGATTTGGAGAACTGGGCGGGTCTGGGGAGGGGTCCCTACCTGTGTCATAGCCGCAGCTCATCCTGGCAATGAATCGATGTGCTCCCACTCGCCTGGCCACCCCTGCCACTTCCTCCCGGCTCTTCTCCCCCAAGCCGTAAGCAATGTTCCTGTGCAAGGACCGGGCAAAGAGCACCGGGCTTTGGCTCACCAGCGCCACCTGCAGGGAGGGCAGAAGAGTTCATTAGAGAATTGGGAAGACTTTTTAAAATTCCAGGGTATTGCCAAGGAGAACCCAACGGTGCATTTGTAGACTAGGGAGGAAGAGGAATTCGTTTGGCTTGCCCTTGCGGTGCACAAAACTGATCCAACACGCCTAAACTTGCTTGCTGATTGGAATGCAAGTCCTGGTTGGATCACACACTTTTAAAAGGGGGAAAAAACACTGAAGAATTTTCAAACTACAGTGGTACCTTGGGTTAAGAACTTAATTCGTTCTGGAGGTCCGTTCTTAACCTGAAACTCTTCTTAACCTGAAGCACCACTTTAGCTAATGGGGCCGGACGCCACCGTGCAATTTCTGTTCTCATCCTGAAGCAAAGTTCTTAACCCGAGGTACTATTTCTGTGTTGGCGGAGTCTGTAACCTGAAGCGCCTGTAACATGAAGTGCCTGTAACCCAAGGTACCACTGTATACAACTATCCAATAAGAATATAGATCACAAGGTAACAAAATTCTTAGGAAAGAAAGCTTCAGAACTAGGGATAAATTGGGGACAATCAAGCATTTGTGACAGTTTATCTGCACAAAAATATTCTTTCCGTAAGAGACATGTACTAAATGCAGGTTTCAAAGATGGAATACCTTGAGAAGCATGCATCTTAGGGGTGCATTAAAATGCATGCAATATGAAGACTTTTTGTGCACTCTTTTTAAAATAATATGCACAAGTCGGAACGGACCTATGACTGAGCATCAGCATGACTAAACTATGACAGAATTAGTCCATCCTTTGCATGGAACTGGAAAGTGGTTCTAAAATGACTCCAGCTGGAGAAAAGGAGGCTGACAGACCGATGAAGCAAAACCAAGGCTGCAAATTGCCCTCTGCTCTCAACATGTGTTTTCCTGTGTTGCATAAGATGATGCCGATTGCAAAAGGAGCTCAAAAGATATGGAGAATGTGCTTTGGAGAAAGCGACTAAAAATTAGGGGAGTCCCAAAGGAGAAGATAACCCATTCCACCCCTGACCTGCTGAAATACAAGAAAGGCCCCTTCGCTCTCTGTTCTGGGGCGAGATCCTCCCTTACCTTTTCATGCAGGAAACGGTGGTCGTATTTGCTCAGCTCTCTGCCATCCAGGGTCACCTGCCCGCTCTGGGGCTCGTAGAACCGCTCCAGCAGAGCCACAAGGGTGCTCTTGCCCGACCCCGAAGGGCCCACCAGGGCCGTCACCGTGCCAGGGCGCAGCTCTAGGGACACTCCCTGTGGGCAGGAGAGAATGAAATAAGCTCAGGTAGCCCTGAGTGCTCACTGGAAGGAAAGATCCTGAAGCTGAGGCTCCAAGACTTTGGCCACCTCATGAGAAGAAAAGACTCCCTGGAAAAGACCCTGATGTTGGGAAAGATGGAGGGCACAAGGAGAAGGGGAGAACAGAGGACGAGATGGTTGGACAGCTACAAACATGAGTCTGACTAAACTGCGGGAGGCAGTGGAAGACAGGAGTGCCTGGCGTGCTCTGGTCCACGGGGTCACGAAGAGTCAGACATGACTAAATAACAAAACATGCCAAGCGGTGGCAGTGTTGGGGGGGGGGGTTTCAAATATACTGCACATTATCAATGTCAGTTTTGGGGGTCCCAAAAGTCCAGCCCCCTGCAATGCAGAAATCTTTTGCGTGGTGCAGGACTTGAACCCATGGCCCTGGGATTGAGAGTCTCGTGCTCTTCTGACTGAGCTACCCAGCTTTATTCCATTCAGGTTCCCCCTCTAAGAGTCTCGCCTGGTCTGCCCAAAGTTCTCTTTGTGCCCCCTTCTGGGGCTCTGTCTCCCTCCACCCTCATTCCCAGCTTCTTCCCTCTCTTTATCCCCAAATACCTTCAGCACAGGAGGGCCTTCCCGGTCGGGGTAGGAGAACGAGACGTCTCGCATCAAAACATGCCCCTGCAAATCCTGGGGTGTTAGCGTCCCCGAAGAGCTAATCTGGGGTGTCCGGTCGATGTACTCAAAAAGCTTCTCAGAGGAGCCCACAGCTTTTTCTACACGTGGAGAAACGGAGAGCAGGACCTGCAAAGAGGGGAAGGAGAAAATCTGTGATGGAGGAAGCATTGGGGGAGCCAGGGGCCAGGTCACTGGTCCCTCAAATTCAGTATTGTCGGATTCTCAGACCTAGCTGGAAATATCGCCAGGGACCTCGGCACCTTTTCCTTTCCCCTATGTTGGTCTTTAGGGACGCGGGTGGCACTGTGGGTTAAACCACAGAGGCTAGGGCTTGCCAATCAGAAGGTTGGCGGTTCAAATCCCCACAACGGGGTGAGCTCCCATTGCTCGGTCCCTGCTCCTGCCAACCTAGCAGTTTGAAAGCACGTCAAAGTGCAAGTAGATAAACAGGTACCGCTCCGGCGGGAAGGTAAACGGCGTTTCCGTGCACTGCTCTGGTTCGCCAGAAGCGGCTTAGTCATGCTGGACACATGACCCGGAAGCTGTACACCGGCTCCCTCGGCCAATAAAGCGAGATGAGCGCCGCAACCCCAGAGTCATTGGTCAGGGGTCCCTTTACCTTTATGTCGCTCTCCTGAACCCCCTGCCCAAGCCCTGCTGTGCGTCTCTGGCCCCTAAAATAAAAACTTACCTTCACTGCTGTGGAAAACTCCATTTCGTAGAGGACAAACGTAACGAGTTCTCCACTGCTGACGCTTCCCAAAGTGACCAGGCGCCCTCCGTAGTAGAGAATCCCCACCTTGAGAGCCAGGCCGGAGAGCTGGAAGGGGAAAACGGGGCTTGAGGGATGCTTGAAGCTGAGCAATCCAGAGTCAAACCGGTCGCCTGTCCAGCTCAGTATGGCCTACACTGACCGGCAACGACTTCCCAGTGTTTCAGGCAGGGGTCTTGCCCAGCCCTACCTAGAGGTGAAGTGAGATTCACCTATTGCATGGAAAGGAGATGTCCTGCCACTTGGCCGCATTGCCTTCCCTTAAGGGCAATGAACCTCATGGTTCTAAAAAGCTGTTTAAACTGGAAGAAGGGAAGCTGTCTTACACAGAGTCAGATCCTTTGTTCATCTAGCTAAGTGTGTGGGTTTTTAAAAATTATTTGGTTTTTCAAATTAAAAGTTTACATAAATATATCGATCATCAAAAACAAGATTCCAATGAATCTCCTCACCTTTGTGGGTCCTGTTATTAATCATTTCCTTCTGCATCTTTTATGATAGTCCAAATCTTTTACATCTCCACTGTATCCAGAATTCACCCTTAAACTACAAGTGATATTCCAATCCTACTAACGATTTGAACTGTTTACAATGGTCTTTCCATCTAGCTAAGTGTTACTGACACGAGGGTGGTCAAAGCGGGCTGCAAAAGTACAAAACCCACACAGGCCACAAGGTGAATTACATTTCTATATCGTAAATTAAAGTGTTTGCTATATATTTAATATACACAATTACTGTGGTACCTCGGGTTACAGACACTTCAGGTTACAGACTCCGCTAACCCAGAAATAGTACCTCGGGTTAAGAACTTTGCTTCAGGGTGAGAACAGAAATTGCACGGTGGCAGCAGGAGGCCCCATTAGCTAAAGTGGTGCTTCAGGTTAAGAACAGTTTCAGGTTAAGAATGGACCTCCGTTCTTTCGGAAACCCCCAAGAGCCTTGAGGCCCAATTCTGGCCTCCGTCTCCATCCCCGCCCCACCGAAAATGGAGTCCCTTACGTCGCTAGTCCACATGGAGGCCGCGTAGGCCACGGCCTCCCACTTGTTCAACTTGTAGGTCTCCTGCAGCTTCTGGTCGTAGCGCCGAGCAGCGCCATCCTCGTTGGCAAAGCTGCGGACGGTGGAGATGGCCTGGAAGGTCTCTGTGGCCACTTCGTTGGCCTTGGCTAGGGACTCCTGGACCTGCAGCGCCAGGTTCTGGGAGAGGAGAAAAGGCGGGTCAGTGGAGCAGGCGCTGGTGAAGCAAAAAATGAAAGAAAGAAAGAAAGAAAGAAAGAAAGAAAGAAAGAAAGAAAGAAAGAGAAAAGGGACAAGGAACTTATATCTATCTATCTATCTATCTATCTATCTATCTATCTATCTATCTATCTATCTATCTATCTATTACAAAGTAATAATCCTAAGTAGGGACACGGGTGGCACTGTGGGTTAAACCACAGAGCCTAGGACTTGCCGATCAGAAGGTCAGCGGTTCGAATCCCCGTGACAGGGTGAGCTCCCATTGCTCGGTCCCTGCTCCTGCCAACCTAGCAGTTTGAAAGCACTTCAAAGTGCAAGTAGGTAAATAGGTACCGCTCCGGCGGGAAGGTAAACGGCGTTTCCGTGCGCTGCTCTGGTTTGTCAGAAGCAGCTTAGTCATGCTGGCCACATGACCTGGAAGCTGTACGCCGGCTCCCTTGGCCAATAAAGATGAGCGCCACAACCCAGAGTTGGCCACGACTGGACCTAATGGTCAGGGGTCCCTTTACCTTTATGTTAATAATCCTAAATAAAAAAGAATAAAAATGAGCACCCCACCCCCAATACCATTCCAGTGTAACTATCTAACCTCCAAAAATTTCAACATGTCTTGCGATGGTTTGACCCCTTTCCGTCTAAACAGTACAGATTCTACAAACACCCTCCGTATCTCCTCAGAATCATTTCTCCTGCATATTCCCCTTCTTACCTTAACAGCACATGTTGATTTATCATTAATAGCTAGCTAGCTAGATACTTTATTACGGTCGGAGACCAGCTTATAAAACACAATTGAGGGTAGCTATATTCCACCACATGTGGGACATAATTCCCATTTTCCTGGCATCCCCTCCAACGCAACACCAAATATTCCTTGCGTCCCTTTTCAGAGACGGCCATTTCTCCTAAAAACTGGCGAGTTTCAGTAGGGGTCAGAAGCAGGGAAATTAGAGCACAGAAACTGCCCCTTAAGTGGCGGTCACATTTACTTCAGTTGCTCATAGTTGGCAGAGTCTCTCTCTCTCTCCTTTTTAGGGGCAGTCTAAAGAAAGAGCCACATCGGATGCATAAAGAATCCTGAGAAGTTTATTAATTATTATTATTATTATTATTATTATTATTATTATTATTATTATTTGACTTTATATGTCGCCCTATACCCTGGGGTCTCAGAATAAAATCAAGCTATAAAACCAAAAAGAGCACAGCTTTCACCTCAGAGAGCTACAATTCCCAGCACCCTCAACAAACTACAGTTCCCAGGATTATTTGAGGGGGAGTTTTCTATACAACGTGGATCTACCCATTACCACTGAATACCGGTTATGGGGGGGGGGGACAACAGCCTTGTCGAGAGAAAGAGATGGGGTACCGAGTTCGAATGACGCCCAGCAGGACCCTGCATGGCACTCCTGGTTATTTGGGTACCTTGTGAAATTTCCCAGAGAGCTTTGGCACCAGCAGGATGAAGGGCAGGGCCACCGTGACGAAGAGGGTCAAGGGGACCGACAGCCACAGCATCATGGCGTAGAGGAAGACCCCTCGCATCAGGTACCACATCAGCAGGCTGAGGTCACTGCTGAGGGCCTCGCTCATGGTGTCCGTGTCAGTCGTCACCCGGGAAGTGATGTCCCCTGTAAGGAAGGAGGTCAAGGATGGTGGGACAGTAGAGGTTCAAGGTAAGCGAAGATGACCCAACAGCTGTAGAATATATGCAAGGAAAACCGGGTGGGGGGATTATTCCAAATAAAATGTCTTCTATCCCTGATAATAATACAGTGGTGCCTCGCAAGACGAAAAGAATCCGTTCTGTGATTCTCTTTGTCTAGCGGTTTTTTCGTCTTGCAAAGCAAGCCCATTGACGGATTAGTGCTATTAGCGCTATTAGCGGCTTATCTGCTGATCGGATCAGCTGATAAGCTGCTTAGCGGCTTAGAAAAAAGGGGGGGAAAGGAAAAAAAACCCAGCAGGAACTCGCAAGGCATTGTCGTCTTGCGAAGCAAGCCCATAGGAGATTCGTTTTGCGAAGCACCTCCAAAACGGAAAACTCTTTCGTCTAGCGAGTTTTCCGTCTTGCGAGGCATTCGTCTTGCGGGGCACCACTGTAACAATAATAATTTTTATTTCTACCCCACCCTCCGCAGCCAAGACTGGGCTCAGAGCGGCTAACACCAGGCACAAAACAATTGATTAAAACATAACTTAAAAACAAGATTAAAATACAACATTAAACTTAAAATGCAGCTTCATTTCAGTAGAAACTCAAATCAAAAACTTTTTGGGGATGAAAACGTCAAATCTTCACCAAGGCCAACTATCCAGACTGGGCCAGAAAAAAAGCCAGGGAAGTCCCCAGATAGGAGTTCCATCACAGAAAGAGAAAGGAAAAAAGATGGAGGGGAAGGGGATCAAGTAGATTCCAAGCCAAAGGCCAGGCAGAACAACTCTGCATTTCCAGGAATGGGAAAACTTTCCCAACCAACCAGAGCAGCTGAAATCCACTCCTGCTTTTTAGCTTTTGAGGAAAACGTGTGTTGTTTGGATGAGCACGGAAATAAATGAGGATCTGTGTTGAATTATGTTGGGTTAGATCAGTGGTTCCCAACCTTTTTTTGGCTGTGCCCCACCTAAGCATCTCTAAAATCCTGAGGCCACCCCCCTCCCCCCACTGACATATAATTCTTATTTTAAAAAAAGTAAACTCCTATTCACGTGGGGGAAGCCTAAAAGGCCTTTAACTTGGTCTAAACATTCTCAAATTGCCCCCCTTAAAAATCAAATCCCCCCCCTGTGGGGGGTTAGATCCTTGAGCCCAAATCATCAGGATTTGGGGGCAGAGAGTGCACATTTCAGAGGAAGTGGTTTTTGTTTTTTGTTTTTTTAAAAAAATATTTATTTGTTACAATTTACAAATCACCTTTCACATAAGCCTGAAGGCGATTTGCAATCGCCCATTCAACTCTACTTACACTGTGCTCTAGGGGTTGGGCGATATTATCAGCAGCTAAACATCGCAATATATCAATATATCACGATGTCTGAAATATGGATGGAACTATGTAGAGGCGAGCGCTGCTGGTTCAGGAAGCAGACTACACGTGATTTGAGCCACCAAATAAGTACCTTGTTGTTTCTTTGGAAATGCTACATTTTGATGGGTTTCCCCCACCGCTAAAACCCCCAGCTTCAATCCAAATTGAGAAAAAGGACCTAACTGCATTTTAAGCAGATGATGTGGACACAGCAGTGGCGTAGCGTGGGTTGTCAGCACCCGGGGCAAGGCAAGTAATTTGCGCCCCCTAACCCGTGGATTCGCGCCCCCTAACCCTAACCCCAGGTGTTGCGCCCGGTGCAGCCGGCCCCCCCCTGCACCCCCCACGCTACGCCACTGGGACACAGCCATAAAATAAAAGGAACCAGGGTTCAAGTCCCCGCTGGGCCCTGAAGCCTTGGGTTTGTCGCTACTTTTCAAACCTGCCTACGTCGCAGGGCAGTTGTGGGGGGATTAAATGGGGAAGAACCACGTGTGCCACCTTCGAGCTCCTTGGAGGAAAAGGTGGCATATAAAAGCAATAAACAAACACTGTATTTTTCGCTCCATAAGACGCACCTAGTTTTCAGAGGAGGAAAACAAGAAAAACAATATTCTGAACGAAACAGTGGATGTATGATTTTTGTGGTTCATGCTGTGGCCACAGACATGATATGTCATTTGACGGTGAATTTGGGGTGACCCAATGCAAAAATCCTGAAGATCCATGTGGATCCGTGCTTTGTAACCACGTTTTTGGACCATAGGGGCCTCACGAAACAATGGATGCGTGTTTTTTTTTGGTGCAGGCTGTAGCCACAGACATGCTGTGTGATTTGACAGTGAATTTGGGGTGACCCAATGCAAAAATTCTTGAAGCTACCAGCATGAGTTTGACCAAACTGCAGGAGGCAGTGGAGGACAGGAGTGCCTGGCCTGCTCTGGTCCATGAGGTCACAAAGAGTCGGATGTGACTAAACGACTAAAGAACAAATGCAAAAATCCTGAGAATCCATGTGGATCCGTGCTTTGTAACCACGTTTTTGCTTTGTTTCAACACCTACTTCTCTCTTTTAAAAAAACCACAAAACATGATCTGCTTTTCGCCCCTGGGCAATTCGACTCCAGGGACCACGCATTCACTCCATAAGACGCATAGACATTTCCCCTTACTTTTTAGGAAGAAAAAAGTGCGTCTTATGGAGCGAAAAATACGGTGATTTAAAAATCCAGAAGAGCTTTAAAATTGTTTTTGGGGGAACGATACAAATTAGCACGAGGCAGCGATCTGAAAAAAAATGATGCAATAATCATCCAGAAAATAAAATAGTGGTTAAACTTAAAGACAAGTCCCATTCGGTGCAGAGTCTGGTTTTACCTGTCTTGTTCGCGTGGAAAAAGCCGACTTCCTGTCGCAGGACGGCTCTGAAGACGTTGCTCTGGAAGCGAGTGTGGAAGTGGTTCATGGTGGTGTTGTAGAGATAGTCGCACAGGAACTCAGCCAGAGCGCTGAGAGAGAAAAGGAGAGGTCAGAAAGGGAGGCTGGACCTCTGCCTTCCAACACCCCACTTTCTCCCCCCAAAAAACCTTCCTAAAACCTCTCCACCTGCTCCGTACCTGCCAACGGTGAGGGCGGACATCATCCAGAGAGCTCTCTCGAAGGCAGAGGGGTCAGCCTCACCGGTGATCCAGTCGGTCACGTGCCCCGTGTAGTACGGGATCGCCATCTCCCCTACGACACACAAAGGGGGGGGAGACCCTCAGGACTCGGGCAACCCAGGGAAAAAATGGTAGGCGTGGGGTGGAGGTGGGGGTAACAGGAGCTGGAGGCTTCGGTTTCGGGGTGAGAAGTGGGGTGTAGCAAGCTTATCCCCCTTTCTTAGGCTACAGCTCAGTCTTCGCCAACCCGGACGCCATGTGATCGATTATGTGGGCAGGGGCTTACCTGGGCCCCCACAATATTTTATTCAAGTTGCCACCCTTGCCCAGCCCAGCAATGTCTCTGTTATTATGCACCAAAATTAATCTAGTCCTGAAGCTGCAAGGAAATTGCACCCAGGCCTCAAATCAAAGGCGGCGGCGAATACTGAAACTTGGCTGAAATTTGCATTTGTTGCATCTGAGTAGATGGTGTTGGGTGAAAACAACCAATACAGTGGTGCCTCACAAGACGAAATTAATCCGTTCCGCGAGTGTCTTCATCTAGCAGTTTTTTCGTCTTGTGAAGCAACCCTATTAGCGGCTTAGCTATTACACGGTTTAGCGGCTATTAAAGGCTTATCGGCTTAGCTGCTAAAAGGCTATTAGCGGCTTAGAAAAAGGGGGGGGGGGAGCGGAAAAAAATCTCAAGACTTGGAAGACATTTTCGTCTTGCGAAGCAAGCCCATAGGGAAATTCGTCCTGCGAAGCAACTCAAAAACGGAAAACCCTTTCGTCTAGCAGGTTTTCCGTCTTGCGAGGCATTCGTCTTGCGGGGCACCACTGTAAATTGAAACCAGCCGCCAGCAGGTCAGACGAACACCTGCCAGCATTCCTCCACACATGATCTAGACTACAATTAAACTGTGGGACTCATTGCCACAAGATGCTGGGAGGATCAGGAGCATACATAACTTTCCCAAAGAAAAAGGCTGGATGAAATCGAAAAGGATGTCAGGTTTCTGGGTGGCTTCCCACAAGCAAACCACTCGTCTCGCTGCACAGACACCCTCAAGATGCAGAGAGAGACGGACCCAGAAGGGTAATTCTGACTTTTAGGAAACATCTGAAGGCAGCCCTGTTTAGTGAAGTTTCTAATGTTTGATGTTTTATCGCTTATTATTAATAATATTCTGTTGGGAGATGCCCAGAGTGGCTGGGGAGACGTGTCCAGATGGGCGAGGTATAAATATTATTATTATTATTATTACAAGTAAAACTCTGCACCGGAGGGAGAGCTGGGAAGGGGGCTAGAATGAATATCCCCCTAGAGGATAGATTTGAGACCCCCAACCACCCCCAACCACTCACTTACCCAAGGACGAGACCACCAGCAGCACAGCGATGGCTACGAACCTCAGCACATCTGGCCTCATGGTGGCGACAAGGCGCCAAAAGGATGCAGAAGATTTCGTCTCCACCTCCCCCTTCCCACGGGGGGCGAGGTGGTGCCACAACAGGACCGATGCCCCCACAACAACATAGCTGAGGGCAAACACATCAGCCCGGGCCCAGCCGTGCGCCAGCTCTAGGGCGACCCCTTCAGACAGAAACAGGTATTGCAGGGTTGTGTAGCAGGGGACCAGGAAGCTGAGGAGGAGCGCTGCAGGCAGGAGGCTGTCTTGGACCCCAGGACCCCCACAGCAGGTGGCGGCACAAGCCGAGAGGGTCAGCAGCAGGCACCGCGCCAGGGCAGCGGCCCAGGACGCCACCAGGGGGCTCCACTGGGGAAGCCTCAGCAGATGCCAGGCCAGGCGGAGGGTGAAGAAGTCCAGGAGCGCCACTGGGGGGATCCAGACCCAGGGCACCCAGGAGGGCTTCATCTTCTCTGCAGCTGGCAGGATCCTAGAGAGAGACAGAGAGGAGCAGCTGCCTCCGGAGGAGAGGCCGGCAAAGCGCAGTTCTGGGAAGCCCCACTCAAAAAGAAATCAATGAAGAATCCGGATCAGGCCAAAGATATCATCAGGGAAGAAAGCAGCAAACCATCAGGCCAAAGATCTCATCTGGGGGGAAAGCAGGCGCCCAAGGAAGAAGCAGCCGCCGCCGCCGCAACGCGCAGCAAATCTGCAGCCGCGCACCCAGTTCTCCGTTTCCAACGGAGGACGGAGCTGATCCAGCCGGAAAGTTTCTTTCTGCTGCAAATCGGCGTCGCTAAAAGAGGTTAAAAGGGCGACGGCGCGCCCTCTGGCGGCTCTACGCCTCTCGCGCCTCTTTGCGCCAGGGAATAAAAAAAGGGGTTTTTTAAAGGAACAGCTTCGGGTGTGTTTTGTATATCCTGGGAGCTAAAAGTGGAACTGGAGTCAAAAGGGGAGAGAGAGAGGTTTGCAGCCTTTCGTTAGCCGCGCCTCTCTTCTCTGGAAAGCCCCTCCGACCAGCTCGGCTCTTCAGAGAAGCGCGGCCGTTTCTGGGAAGTGGAAAACGAAAGTAGTTTGCTGGTTCAGAAATATCTCAGAGGTGGGAAGGGCTAGAGGACGAGAAGGAAACGGCCCGTTAGAAAGGACTGGAGGGGGAAGGGAGTTGCAGATGGCTTTGTGTCTCTGGCAGGATAAATGATGTCTGCAGGGCAGGCGGCGATTCAACCGGTGAAGCTTTTCCTACTGGATGCGCGGAGATGCAATGGGCAAGCTTCACCAGTTGGATTTTGTCAGGCAGCAGGAAAAAGTAGGAGGGAGTTTCCTAGGGGTGAAAACACACACGGTCTGCATCTGGCTAGTGCATTTACATTCCACTTTTCGATTTATCGCCATTTTGAAAAAAGAAACACGCGTGTCCGCCCGTCCACACGTGCTTCTTGCACAGAATATCAGGGAGGTGCGTTTTCACACCCGCCTGGGCACACGGCTGCCGCCACGGATGCAGCAGAGACGTCGGCTGAGCACCGGGGAATCGTGGAGCTGGTAGGGTACCCCAGAGATCCTGTAGTCCAACCCCAATGCTCAACGATCTCTCTCGCCTTCTCTCACCATCTGCGTGCAGGGCGTCCCTTGCACGTGCGAATCCCCCCACTTGCCCCGCCCCGTAGCCTCGATCTGTGCGAGGAAGGCCTTGTACTCTGCACATGCTCTGGACCACTCTCGCCATCGCGATTATTCCGCATGCCGGAGGGTTAACGCGCGTTCATTCATTCATTCAGAAATGTGAGCCTCGCCATTGGCAACAGGTTCTGGAGCGGATCCCCGGAGGATCAAGTGTCCAGCACGCTCCGGAGAGCTGGCTGCCAGTAACCTGAGCGCTGGGGAAGCGGCTTGGGATGCCTGAAGACCCAGCGCCCCATCCAGGGGCAGCAAAGGCGGCCTTGGCCACCGCCCCACCGCGCCCCATTCAGAGCCGGACGGCGACTGCCTCGCAGGTTAAAGTTTAACGCGAGGAGGGGCGCCCTCTGGCGACCACGAGCGGCTCTGCAGGCGGCACCGTCCCCTGTCACTTTCGTTCTCGGTCGGTTCCCGCGGAAGAAGCTGCAGCGCTGCGGGTCGGGGGCCACCATGGACCACCGCGGGCCGCAGAAGATCAGCACCGGCGTGAGTATCTCTGCGTGTGTCCAGGTCGCGTGGGGAGTGGGGTTTGCCTAGGATTCGCAGGAATCCAAACGCCCCTGAACACTTTTCTTGGGGAGGGTCGCTCCCCCCAAATAGGGGGCTGGATATAGATGGGTAGGGGGAGAGCGAAATCGGGGAGGGGGCTTAAGGTACATTCACCCGTTTCATGTTAGGAAAAACGGAGGCAGGAGGGCAGTTTTGCACCACCAACAGTCACGGATCTCGCCCACACTTAAAAAAAAAAAATTAAATTTTTTGCCCATACTATTTTACTAAATTGGTGGGTTCTTGCAAGGCAGAAATTGTTTTCGGAGTGAGGCTCCTCCCCCTCTAATCCTATTGGCATATTCGCCTGTCGAAGTACATCATTCTTCCTCTTCCCATATCCCCTACAGAATAGTAATAGAATTGCAGAAACGTAGACTTTGTAGACCCCAGGGAACTCAGCTAAAGCATCCATGACAGATGGCCTTGCAACCTCTGCCTGAAAACCTCTGAGGAAGGAATAGGCAGCTGTTTGCATTTTACAGAGGGGAAACTGAGGCAGGGAGAAAGGTTTCCCCAACATTAAATAACTTATCTGTTAGAATCATAGCTGTCAACCTTCCCTTTTTTTGTGGGAAATTCCCTTATTCTTGCGCCATTTCCCGCTGCTATCCCAGATTGTTAGATATCCCGTAGACTGTCCCCAGGACAGGTGAGGCTGCTGATCCCTTATTTTCAAATCTGTAAGTTGACAGCTATGGTTAGAATTGGTGTGACCTTGCCAGGGCCAAACTCTGCCCACTAGGCCAGGCATAGGCAAACTCGGCCCTCCAGATGTTTTCTGGACTACAACTCCCATGATCCCTAGCTAACAGGACCAGTAGTCAGGGATGGTGGGAATTGTAGTCCCAAAACATCTGGAGGCAGAGTTTGCCTATGCCTGCACTACACACATTCCCCAAATGGATGAAAAGCAGCTGAGATCAAAGTGAATCATCCCAGAGCTGTGTGCAGTGAACAGTTAATATTCCCCCCCCCCCGGATTCTATGATCTGTATCAGTTAATTCAAACTGAGGACACCCCCCCCCCATTATTCATATTTATTATTTTGCATAAGCTTTTCCGGTTTGGTTGGTGAATCAGCCCCACAATTTAAACACAGCCAATAGCTACCTCACCTCCAGACATTGTTGCACAGAGATCTATGCATTTGGGTGGTACCCCTATACATGGAGGTCTACCTGACAGTAAGTCCCATTGAACTCAATGGGATATTAACAGGAGGTTAATATCATCTGCCTTTTACATAAGAAATATTGTAGCAACAGATACAACCAGCGAAACGGTTTCGTACAAAACAGATGCAATCGGGAATAAAGTTGGCCGTCTTCTGTGCGGATGTGCCAGCCAATGGATTTCGCTCCTTTGCAGAGGCAATGGCGGATAATACTGCATATAAGACAGATAAGCAAGAAGTATGCAGTTTAATAGGGATGCAGGTGGCGCTGTGGGTTAAACCACAGAGCCTAGGACTTGCCGATCAGAAGGTCGGTGGTTCGAATCCCTGCGACGTGGTGAGCTCCCGTTGCTCGGTCCCTGCTCCTGCCAACCTAGCAGTTCGAAAGCACATCAAAGTGCAAGTAGATAAATAGATACCGCTCCGGCGGGAAGGTAAACGGCGTTTCCGTGCGCTGCTCTGGTTCACCACCAGAAGCGGCTTAGTCCTGCTGGCCACATGACCCAGAAGCTGTACGCCGGCTCCCTCGGCCTATAGAGCGAGATGAGCGCCGCAACCCCAGAGTCGGCCACGACTGGACCTAATGGTCAGGGGTCCCTTTACCTTTATGCTGTTTAATGGAGAGGGCGGTGTTATGGGTCTGCCCAGGTCCGGCTCCAGGTCTGAGGGTCCTCTGCTAGCCGCCCCTCCCTGTCAGTGGGTTTCAGGTGGGCTCCCCTAGATGCGTGGTTGCACTCTTCAGCAGCCCTGGGCGGCTGCATCTAGCCCCCTTTTCAGTTTCCCAGAATGCCGCAGAGTGATGCTCTGCCAGGTGCATTGTGGGAAACGTAAGGGCATTTCAGCCACCTGATGCTGCCTGGGTGGGGGGAGGAGAAGGAGGGACGCCCCCCCATCAGCATCATTAATGAATGCTAGAAAAAAATGAGGTGCGAGGGGCATAGTGGTATTCAAATAAGAAGTTTCTTCCGCGTTGGTTCCATCTCGTTTGCCCTGCTGGATGTCAAATAATAATAATAGTAATATTTATATCCCTGCAAAATGGATCTGTTAATAGGCCCGAAAGAGAAGAAAATAAATGATCCATGGTAGCACATAGCTACCGTATTTTTCGCTCTATAGGACGCACTTTTTCCCCTCCAGAAATGAAGGGGAAATGTGTGTGCGTCCTATGGCGCGAATGCAGGCTCCTTGGCTTCAGCGATAGCAATGCGAAGCCTCCGAAGCGCAGAGGGAGCGCTCCCTCCACGCTCCGGAGGCTTCGCGTTGCTTTCGCTGAAGCCTGGAGAGCGAGAGGGGTCGGTGCGCACCGACCCCTCTCACTCTCCAGGCTTCAGGGATAGCCGCCTGAAGCCTTTGGAGCGCAGCGCGAGTTCCCGCTGCGCTCCGAAGGCTTCGGGTTCCTTTTGCTGAAGCCGGGAGAGCAAGACTCTCCTGGCTTCAGCAGAGAGGGAGAGCTGCGCAGCGCCCCTTCAGCCAAGCGGGAGGAGAAATGGAAGGGGCTCCGTTTCTCCTGCCGCTTCGCTGAAGGGGCGCTGAGCAGACAGGGGGAGATTATTATTTTTCTTGTTCTCCCCTGTAAAACTAGGTGCGTCCTATGGTCGGGTGCGTCCTATAGAGCGAAAAATATGGTATGTCTTTTGACTCGCATCTTCACTGCTGCAAGATTGCAAAGCCCGGCTTCCTCTTTAGATTTAAAGCCAACCAATTTATTCATCTTATTATTATAATTTTTATTAAATGTTCTGTTTTACCGTTTTAAATACTCATTTTACATCCTTAAAATATCTCTGACTTCCCTTCTTCTCTATCCATGGTTCATTTTACGTATCATAAACCCCTGCATCTTTTACGAAAACTATACCATTCAGTATTCCATTATTGCATCCACCAAAACTTACTTACACTGTTGAATTTATTTTAACGCTGCCAGCGTTTTCAGCTGTACACAGTTATTTCCCATTTTTCAATAAACATTTTCCAATCTTCTTTAAATGTATATTTGAAGCAAATGTTGGAAACAAGAACCAGTGGTATTTAATCCTCTCTTCTCTACAGTAGCCTAATAATAAGAATAACCCTACTCCATTTAGAATCCAGCTGTCTCACTGATTGTCTAAAACTATCAGTGCCAGAGGGCCAGGGCCTCCAAGCACCGACGAAAACCCTACCCCCCATTTCTTCTCCTTTGCAAAAGATGTCCATGGAGTCTGCTTCCCTGGGCAAATGGGGCCCTGCCCCACCAGCCTCCACCTGCCTACCTGCTAGTCTCAGTATTGCCCTTGTCAAACTCAGTGGGGAGGAGGGACAAGCAACAGACTTAGTTGGTTCTGGCGCCACCTTCTGTTCGGCTCCTGGCCTGCTGCCCTACTGGTTCCAAGGGGCACCAGTAACCCCTGAAAAAG